TATAGCCTTTTTGGGGTTACAAAAGCAGAAATGTCTTTCACTCTCCCCAGCAAAGGTACTGGCCAGTAACCATGAAGTAAGTCCAACTTTGTGATGCAAGTGGCTTGTCCAACTTTTTCCACACAGTCCTCCAGCCTTGGAATTGGATATGTGTCTGATTTAGTTACAGTATTGACCTTCCAATAATCAATGCAGAATTGTTGAGTACCATCAGGTTTGGGAACCAACACAATCAGCAAACTCCACTTGCTTTGACTCAGCTCAATGATGTCTTCTTGGAGCATCACTTCCACTTCCTTCTGTACCTGTGCTGCTTTGAGAGGATTAAGCCTGTAGGGGTGTTGTTTTATTGGAACAACATGCCCTACATCAACCTCATGTACAACGGTATTAGTCCTCGCCATTCTACTTCCATGTCCTCATAGCACTGCAACAAGTCTTTCAATTCGGTTCTCTGTTCCTGAGACAGATAGCTTATTACCCTATCCCGTTCTTCAAGGACTTCTTCATTGTTCACTTTATTCTGAGGCACATCAAAATCCAAATCATCTGGATTTTATTCCTCACTTCAAGTGGCAGTAACTAATACCTGTTCCTCGGTTCCCTTTCCTTGCCGTTGTAAGGTTGTTCACATGATATTCCCAACAATTTTTTTTCCTATCTGGCATCTTTCCAGATAATTCACCTGACTTAACTTCTTCTCAATTTGTTAGGGATCACTAAACATTGCTTTGAAAAGCTGTCCTACCACTGGTAACAACACCAATACTTTATCCCCACAGACAAATATACAAATTTTAGATTTCTTATCTGCTTCTTGCTTCATTAGCTGCTGTGCCACCTTCGAATGTTGTTTAGCTAATTCACCTGCTCTGTTTAATCTTTCACTACAGATACATAATCCAACTGTGAGAACTCTGACTTTGGACCTATCAACTTTTCCTTAATTAATTTTAAAGGCCCTCTTACTTTGTGTTTGAAAATCAACTTAAATGGAGTAAACTGAGTTGATTCATTTGGAGCATCTCTAATGGCAAACAATACAAGTGGGAAACCTATATCCCAATCATTTGGGTAATCCTGGCAATAAGCCCTTAGCATTGTCTTTAGGGTCTGATGCCATGTTTCCAATGCCCCTTGGGATTCAGGATGGTACACACTTGATTTTTGGATGCCTAAACTATCCATGACCTCCTTAAATAATTTGGCATAAAATTGGACCCTTGGTCTGACTAAACCTTCCCGGGTAGTTCATAATGGGTAAAAGAAAGCAAACAACTCCTCCACAACCCTTTTTGCCTTGACATTCCATAATGTAATTGCCACTGACAATCTGCTGGACACATCCACTAAGGTTAGCAAATTTGGTTCCCACCTTGGTGTTAGGGAGGGGACATACACAATCAATCATAACCCGCATGAAAGGTTCTTCAAATGTGGGAATTGTCATTAAAGGCCTGTGGCTTTCCTATCATCTGACATTCAACCACATCTTTATGGAATCCAGGCTAATAGAAATGCTTCTGTTCTTAGCCTGAGTCTTCCTCACTCCTTGATGACCTCCTACAGGTCACTCGTGTGCTACCTGCAATTCTTCCTATCTGTATGCTATTGACAACACGATCTGGTGAACTTCTGCCCATTTCTCGTCTGCACTAACCTGCCAAGGTCTCCATTTCCGCCGTAGGATTGTATCCTTAAGGTAATAACATTCGGGAATACATTCTGATTTCTCTTCCTTTTTATTGTCCCATCTTTTTGTCGTAAGTCCATTAGTCTTTCAGAACTAAACACCTCTGTCTGATCCTTTACCTGCTTAGGTTTTTCCTTTACGATTTCATCAAACAGGGTGTCAGCTAACTGAACCTGTCTCCTTTGTCTTTCTCTTTGGTTTTCCCTTCTTGCTTTAACTTATGACTGTGGGATCTTGTCACCAGACAGTCTGGAAAAATTCCAGGTATTTTTCTTTGACTCCTTCAGTTCCTGGTTTTCTTTCGGCTTCTCCACTACAGTTCATTTCCAAGAACAAACTGTATTCCTGGAATAGACACTCTCTTTCAATCACTCCCACTGTCACTTCCCCAGTCTTGATTGGACTTTCTAGCCTTATCTTACACAGGGGAACGCTAAATCTGTCTCCATCTATTCCACAGATTACCGCTCTCTTGGGTAACATTTCAGAAAGAGTGCAAAAGCTTTCATCTCTTACTAATACATACAGCTTCCATATCTCACAATATTCTAACTTCTTTACCTTCTCCATCTGTTCTTCCCGAGTAAACCTTATCCACTGAGGCTGAGCCTGTAAAGAGATCAGGCACTGTCTTATTTTCCAGCCTGTGACTAGGCTGTGCACTCTCTCTGCTGCTCCTCGACTTATCTTGGGATTTCCTTCACAATCCCATCTAATCCCACTGGTTTAGCCTCTTTTACCAGATCCTTTTTCCTAGTGCCTTTCTTAAATCACCAGCACTGTGACTTTGCAGTGAAAACACCTGAGGTCTTTCACCTCTTTTTCACTCTCTTGAGTTTCTTTTTTTCACATGTGGTGAACTGTTCCAGTGTGATCTACTTTTTTTTTCATTGAAGGATCTCCCTCTTTCCCAATTTTTTCCGTTATAGAATGAAATTGCTGTCAGAAGCTAGATTTCGAATATGCAGTAATGCGTATTCATCCGCCATTTCTGCAACTCTTCTTGCTATTTTAACTTTCTGTTCCTCAACATCATTTCTTATCATCTCTGGAAGTGAGTTTTTGAACTCCTCCAGCTAAGTAATCTCTGTAAGATTCACATGTCTTTTCTATCTTTAATGGTCTTTTGGTTATGGTAAAATGGTATTTTTAGTTCAGATTATCATTTTCTGAGAGCTTAGAGAATTCTGTGAGAGCTGGTGATTCTTTCTTTTATAGCTGAGAGCTGTTCTCTTTGCAGATGACAGTTGACTCTCACACTGATTTTCAAATGCCCTTTTTTTAATACCCTTGATGACCTATTAAATTCTTACAATGGAATTGGTCTTAGGTTGTCAAAACCATCATATTTAAATTTAATTGGGCTTTGGTACCTGGGGCCTGGTTTAAATTAATTGGCTAAGTTCAAAAACCTGTTGTCTTGGTAAAAATGCTGCTTTGCCTGCTAACAGTATAGCCTTTTGATAGTGTTTCAATTTAAGAACTCTCTGTGCATCTGCTGCCTGCAGACATTTGTATTAATCTCCAAGCCTAGAAAACACATCATCTTTTAAAGGGACCACTCATTGAATACACTACCCAGTTTTGCAATACTAGGAAGACCTGCCTGGAGTGCTACTCTCTGGCCTGCGACTGGCTCATATCTCTAGGCAATTGAACTGAATTCCTGCCTTGTTGAAAAACAGGAAACCATGTGGAAAATCTTAACGAGCCTACAAGGCTCTTAATGGCTGCCAGGATCCTGAGCGGGCAAACAAAGATATATACTTAATACATCATAAACTATATTATCTTGTTTAAATCATTCTGTTCTAAAAGAAAGGACATTTTCCTGGATTGAAAACTGGTTATCACTGGTCATGATGCCAGTTGACCACAATTACATGAATATTCTGATCAGCAATAACCAGCAGAAAAAAAGCTGATATCATCCTCCCAGAATATCATATTCCTTCAATTGCGGAAATATCCCAGCTAAGCCAACATAAAGGAATATTCTTGATAAGCAATGAGATAAAACGTTATTGAGGGTAAGCAAAAATATAGAATACTTAGATCAAACTTGATTTTATTGAATGGTGGAGCTGCCTCAAGAGGCCTACTTCTAATTTGTAAGTTCTTTGTATGTATGAACCACAAGCGATGTCAATACCAACCTGTTCAGAATGCAATGGAATCCACTGAACCATAATATGTCAAAGATGGCATGAGCTATCCCACAGCTACCGGCTTAAAAACAGTGGGTTTTGTTGAAGACCACAAAACCCACCTTGTTAACTAAAGTGGTTGAACCTGAAATCCTATCAGAGATAGTAGGAACTGCAGATGCTGGAGAATCCGAGACAACAAGGTGCAGGGCTGGATGAACACAGCATCCAGCCCTGCACCTTGTTGTCTCGGATCAGCCTCTCTGCTCCTATGATGCTGCTTGGCCTGCTGTGTTCATCCAGCCCTGCACCTTGTTGAACCTGAAATCCTAGTCATGTGAGAGGAGGCGATGGCCTAGTGGTATTATCGCTGGACTGTTAATCCAGATACCCAGATAATGTTCTGCGGACCTGGGTTCGAATCCCGTCATGGCAGATGGTGGACTTTGAATTCAATAAAATATCTGGAATGTAATGATGACCATGAATCCATTGCTTGTCAGGAAAAACCCATCTGGTTCACTAATGTCCTTTAGGGAGGGAAACTGCCATTCTTACCTGGTCTGGCCTGCGTGTGACTCCAGACCCACAGCAAATGTGGTTGACTCTGAACTGCCCTCTGGGCAATTAGAGATGGGCAATAAATGCTGCCTAGCCTGTGATGCCCTCATCCCATTAATGAATAGAAGAAAACTACTGAATTTAAACTGTTTTAATTATATATCTTTGGTTTCTTCATCAGTCTATTTGTAACACCAGAAGAGAATACAGATAGCAGCTCCACGCTTAGCTAACATCTGCATCTATTCTCAATCTCATTCAAAAGTCTGATTTCTGGAAGGCATCCTGTATTTTGTTTGCAAAGTGAACCAATTCCCAGTTTACAACTGGTGCATCTTCAATCATAGTTCAACTGCATCAGATTTCCTGCCAAAAAAAATGTCTGTGCTTAGCCAACTAAAAGTACGTCCATTGGACATTGATTTAGAGGTCTCTTTAATTCATGTAAACTAATGGCCCATGTCTTTGATAGTAAGTGATTTATAATTTGTAACTTCTCTCATTTCCTGTCTGTCTTCCTTGAAAGCAAGTGTGTTGCGAGCCATTTTGCCAGATTTTGAATGTATTTTTATTAATCCTTATTTGTTTTCAACCTGAAGGAATTTGATGTGAGTCAATTTTAAATTGGACTTTGAAAACAGGATATGAGGAAACACACCAGTGCCTACCTTTTAAGAGGTGGGAAAAAGAAAAGAAACTAAACACCACCTTGGTTACGGACAATGGAGGAGAACAGTAAAAATTATTTGATCCACCTCTCCCTCTTGTCTGTGACGCTGCCACCTTTCAGGATTTAAAGATGCTGAAGCCACTTTTACAGCTACTGAGAAGGTAAGTTTGTAAAGTGAGTGAGGGGGTAGGCTGATGTTCTGGGTGTGGTGCCAGGTGGGTGGGGAGGAAAAGACAACTTGGTTGTTAGGAGGGTGAGGTGGCAGGTGTGTGAGTGGGTAAGGTGCACTTTGATTGAGGGGGCATAGTGGCTGATGTGTGATAAGTTAGGGTAACAAGTGGAACATGTGGGTTAGGTGGCAGGTACATGAGGTTGGTAGATGTAGGTGAGTGTTTGGGGTCAGGATGAGTCGGTTTAGGAGGAGTTGAGAGCTGTCAGGGCCAGTGTGAGGTTTGTGAGTTTGGGGGATTTGCTGGAGGTGGTTTGCAAGGAGAATCTTGGCTATCCATGGAAGTTTGAGAAGACAATTAGAGATGAGTTGGGGGGAGTGGAGGGTCAATTTTTAAATGGTCTGAACATTTCCTGGCTAACTGTCAAGCTAAGTCACTGTAAATTCCTTAAAGTAAAAACAATGTACGTTACTGTACATTATGTCCTTTAATTAATACATTCAAAATCCAGGGAAATGGTTCACAACACCCATGCATTCACAGACGTGTGCATTTAAGGAAGAAAGAGAAAGTACGTGAGAAGTTTTAAATTACAAATTTTCAGAATCAGCTACGTCATGGTGTCTGCATGGTCCTGAGGTGTGACTCCTTTCTTCACTGCTGCAACAACTGCCTTCCCATTGGAAGACCTGGGCCAGTGTAAGTTGAGCATGCTGTCACAGTAAAAGGGAGGCTGAGAAATGATATAAATGCTATGTTAGGATTCTAAAGATACTTGAAAATGTAGACCATGACAAGATCTTTCACATTTTTCAGATCAATTGAACCAGTGGACGCAGATCACATTTGAAGATGGATAACTTTCAAACAAATCTGTGGAAATTATTAATTCAATGAACAAAAAAGCAATCTGTGTAATAGACTCCCTTTAAAAAATGGTGAAAGCAAACAGAAATGATTGACTCAAACGTATATATTTATGTTATAAAACAGTAAAAGATTAAAAGGATACCGTATATGAGTAATCTGAGATTGACGTATAAGTGCAGCATGTTTGGGAGGATCAGGTGACTTTGTAACTATGGTACACACAGCTCCATACCATTGGGGTTTTCCATGCCTCATGTCAAGGCATGTTGTAGATTATAAATAAAAGATTTATTGCTATGATTACACAACGATTATTCTATTAAAATGCCACCAGGAAGCTGGAAGGCAAATGAGATTTGTAACCTTAGGATCATCGAAAACCCAGCTGCCCATGCCCTTAGGGGTGCCATCTCATTCACCTTTATCTATCCCTGAGCTCACTGACCTACATTGATTCTCAATTAAGCAAAATCTTGTTTTTATAATTCTTATCCTTGTTTTCAAATCCTTTTAATGGCCTTAACCATCCTTATCTCTATAAAATTCTTCAGTTCTGCAACCTTCTGGGATATTTGAGCTCCATTAATTCTGATCCATTGAGCATTTCTGACTTTAATCACAATTGTGGCTGTGCCTGCAGCTACCTAGATTCCAAGCTCTGGATTTGCCTCACTACCTTTTGTTCCTCCTTTAAAACACTCCTTAAAACCCACATCTTTACCAAGCTTTTGGCCATATTTTCTAACATCACCTGATAGCTTAGTCTCAAATTTTTGTTCTATAGTACTCCTGTGAATACCATAGGACATTTTAATACATTAAAGGTGACACATAAATGCAAGTTTTAGATGGACTCGGGCCTCTTACTATGTAGTATTCTGTTTCCAAGTAGGCCACGACTGCCAGAAATTGCTTCTTGAAAGTGGGTTTCCAGTTCATCAGTCAATTTAGTGAGAAACCTGCTGATAAAATGAAGCCTGGAAGGTAATACACTTTGCCTTCTTTTGCTGCAGTTGTTGAATTTTAAACTGAAACCATGATTCAAGTTGATTAGATTTAAATAGAGATTGTGCATTTGGCGGAATGCCCCCACCTACTTTCAGAATAGTAAATACATGGGTTAAATTTCCAGCAAAAGCAATTAACAGTATCCTAAAAAATAAGTAGGTAATGATTTTAATATAAAGTAGACACAAGTGATCAAATACTCCATTGATTACAGATCCAAAGTTAGCCCAGAGTGTGAGAACAATTAATCAACTGGAATCCAACCAATATCCAGGAATATAGTCTTAACTGCTTTTTGCCAGGATTTTGTTTCCATCAATCAAATAAGTTAAAACATCGAAACTAGGAGCAAGAGTCGGCCAATTAGCCCTTCAGTCGTGCTCCACCATGCAATATGATCGTGGCTGATCCTTTATCTCAGTGTTATATTTTTGCCTTCTCCCTCATACCCCTGGATGCCTTTAAAATTATTATTCTCTTCCTGGAATATATTCAGCAACTTGGCCTCCACAGTCTTCTGTGGTAGAAAATTTCACAGGTTCAATGCCCCTTGAGTGAAGAAATCTTTCCATATCTCAGCCCTAAGTAGTATACTCTGTATCCTGAGATTGACTCCTGGTTCACAGCCCTCTCAGATATCTGTAGAGAGCCCTTGTTTCATGCCTTCTGCCAACATCGACTGGATTCTATCAATATAATATACAATATCCTTTTATTTTAACGTGTACTCCTACAATGGAGTACAATGAGTACAGTATTCTCCCTGACAGTGATAGGAACCTATTCAATATGCCAGCTATTGAACCCACAATCACATTGTGTGTGCTTATTAATGTTCTGCTGAATGTAGTCTCATCTGAGTCCTCTATACCAAAATTTGCCTGTGAGCTTGCCCCCAGTGAGCAGAACAACAAACTGTCCTCTCCCCTTAGCCTAATTGCTGCTGATTCATGCACAGATGACATACCAGATGCTGATCCCAACTTTATACTTAGCTCTAAGGTACATGGAATTGCCAATATCTGTACTGGTGACTGCAAGTGTCAGATCAAATTAATGGCCTTTTTATTTGTGCTGTACTATTGCACAGTCACTTCTTCCTTTGGTGTGGCTGACAAATTAGTGATCTTTTGGTGTTTAAAACTGGAATTCAGAAGGCAGAGGTTGATACAAGGAAAGGGATTTAGGATGACAAACAGAAGTTGATGGTCACAGTATCTACAGCTTGGTTGTCATGTCAGGCAACAGTTCTCAGTGATGTCTTGTTGAGACAGATATCTTGAAGTTTATGAACAACACTATTTACATTTTTCGAAGATTTCAGACTTAAACATAGTCTGTGCTCTATGCTTACTGATGTTACACCTGTATTCCATGACTGTAACACTACACACAGTTGACTGCAGTATGATATACTGTACTGAATTCACTGCATTGCAACTGTTACTGAAGGTGATGTGAGGACCTTTTATACTGTAACAGCACTTAACATAATATCAGCTAACTCTTTTTAACTTACATTTTCTTTCTAGAACCTATGCAGCAATACAATGTGAGACCTCAGAGCTATGGAGTGCTGATGGGTGAATGGTGGGAGTATGGTGCTTTGAGTGACAAAAGAGGTTGATGGTGTGCTAAGTAGGAGATACCACATGAAGGTGCAGGGCTGGATGAACACAGCAGACCAAGCAGCATCATAGGAGCAGAGAGGCTGACATTTCGGGCCTAGACCCTTCATCAGAAAAGGGGGAGGGGAAGGGGGTTTTGAAATAAATAGGGAGAGAGTGGGAGGCGGATAGAAGAGGGATAGAGGAGAGGATAGGTGGAGAAGAAACAAACAGGTCGAAGAGGCGGGGATGGGGCCAGGAAAGGTGAGTGTAGGTAGGGAGTTAGGAAGGGGATAGGTCAGTCCAGGGAGGACGGACAGGTCAAGGGGGCGGGATGAGGTTGGTCGGTAGGAGATGGAGGTGCGGCTTGAGGTGGGAGGAGGGGATAGGTGGGAGGAAGAACAGGTTAGGGAGGCAGGGACGAGCTGGACTGGTTTTGGGATGCGGTGGGGG